GGGTGGCACTTGCAGCATGATCCATAAGCCAAAAGGACCAGGGCTGTAAACAGACTTTTTCAAAGCCAACTTAAAGTACTAAGTTTGATTTTTAACACAATGCTGGAAACCATTCCAAGAGGCAGCAGATGGTTTTACAGTTTATGTAAAACTACAAAATGCTCACACTCTATCAAATGGGCACCACTATAAAAGACATCTTCAAATCAAATGAGGCAAAAGCCAGAGATACACCAGCTGTTACTCTGCATAATTTAAAACATAACAGTAGAATTACTGTGGTTTATTTGTAAGGAGAAATTATTTAAATTTCACAAAAATGGCATATTCAAAACCAAGCTGACAGGCAAACTAGTATAACAAATGAAAAATTGCTGTGAAACACAATTTTTACTTCAATGTAACTGTGACAGTCACATAATTCTATTCCCTGCTGTTTTGGTGAATCAGGCTAAAATGAGACAAACTTATAAAGCAAAAAATATGGAGTATATAATTACAGTACTATTACCAGAACAATTTTTAAATAATTTTAATTTAATTTAAAACAATTAATTTAAAATAATATTTTCAACATAATAATACATACAAATGGGTACAAAACTGTATATATAAAATTCAGTCATTTATAGAAACATACATAATACATTTAAAATATAAAAATCAATTAATTTTCTTCTAGTACCAATTACCTCTGATGGTTTTGAAATATAAACATTTAGCAATGTGTAATATATTTTTAATACTGGTTTTCATTAATATCTTTTGACCTAAGCTACATGGTAATGATGAAAAATAGACCATTTACTTGAAAGCAAAACTCTCATCAAATCTAAAATATTATGGCACAAAATCAAACCAAAAAAAGGCCCACATTATGTTATCCCCCTTGATTTTATGAAGAAAAATAATGAAAGTTTCCATGTAGTGCAGATGAAAATGAGACACTCAAATTTACTCAGGCAACAGAAAACAGGGTCTGTACAATTGAATCCCTTTCTGGTATCTTGACTGCAGTCCTAACAAGTCACTACATTATTTCAATTAGCAAGATAATTTTTCTAGGTGAAAATAAATGCAAATTATTTTGTCATTCTTGCTCAAATTTCTTGTCAAATCAAACTTTGAGTTGAAAGACCTGAATAATTCTAGCCTATCTTAAGCTGTAATTTTATTTTATACTTCCATATTTTATTCCAGTAGAATTTTTAAGTATATACTGGGTACATTCCTCAGGTCCAGTCATATTAAATTCTAATGTTAAGCAGAAAGGGGAAACCATGTGCAACTAGATTAATTTATCTCCAGGGAAAAGGGGCACATTAATAATTGAGATAATGTTTTCATAAATGTTGGAATAAAATGTGCCTTTCCACTTCTTTATTAGAAAACACATTAGGATAAAATTATCTCACTCTCATCAATAAGACCTAATTGCTGAGAAAGATTCTGTTTTCTTTGCAAAATATTCAGAAAGATTTTTTTCTCCATTACATTCAAATAACTAGAAATATATTGTGCATCCAAATCTTGGTGGATCAATGTATATAACCAAAGCAATTGCTTGTCTAATATACTCTGCAATGTTTTAAAGTATCTGAATTTATTATTTTAAATAAACACTTTAAAATTCTGATTGTAAAAAACTGGCAAAAAACGACTAATAATTTGACTTTTAGCTTGTCAATGTCCCTTAACTTGCTTTGGCTTATTGCAGAAAGAGAGAGAGGAAGAGAGGGAGAGGGAGAGGGAGAGGGGGGAGAGAGAGAGAGAGAGAAAGAGGAAGAAAGAAAAAAGAAAGAAAGAAAGAGGGAGGGAAAACAAAAACTCTTGGAGTTTCCCATTTCCTATAAACAATCAAAAGAGTCAAAACATATTGAATGTAATGGAATGATATGATATTTAAGTTTCTTTAAATTGCTGTATTCTGAAGAAGTGGGATTATTCACCAAGAAAATGTTAACAACAAAAAAAAAAGATCATATGCTTACAAACCAACCAAAAGCTCTCTGTAGCTGATATATATTAAATATAAAAGTCATTTTTCTACAAAGAAAATAGAGCTTCTAAAGATTAAACAAAAGGAGTAACTAAGGTGAATCTGGCTGTTTCTGTAATAAGCCTTCATGTGTATAATAAAGTACAGTCATACTAAAAACAATGAACTGTAAACTGAAACAAAAATCCATCATCTACTTGGAAACAGTGACAGGAAAAGATTAGCAATCCATTTATTGTACTGAAATAAAGATAAGTAACCCTGGTAAGATCCATCAGGACCTGGATATTGAACTCTAAATATAAAGACATTTTTAAATCAGCAAATGACTTGAAGAAATGTGAGGAAGAGAAATTATTATAGTTGACTTTTAAAATAGTCATGATTCAATTGCTTTTAATTATTTAAAAATATGCTTTATGTCGACCTGATATTCTGGAAGACATCTAAAAGAATATGTTTTTGAAATGGATAATTATTACATGAGTCATTAAGCAATTATTGCCAAACATTTCCTATAGACTTACAATGTCTTCCAATTACTGATTTTTTTCTAATGTAAATAGCATAATGAACTTTAAAATTTCACAATGGAATTTAGGTTTAAAAGGAAGAGCTAAAATTTAAGGAACAATGCAGCATTTAGACTCTTCTGTTTTAAATGTTACTTAATTCAAATAGTCAAGTTTCATAAAAACAGTAAATCACAATGCTTACAAATTAAAAGTAAACTCACACTTATATTTTTAAAATAATTATACAAATAAAAATCTGAAGTCAATTTTGTAAAGTAACTATTTTATCTTACAAATGGACATTGACACTAAGTTACCTAGCCCTAGTTAGTCACATTTTATATAATTTCCCAGGAGACTGATACATTTTGCATAGCTGAGGTTTAATATCTCTTCAATCCCCCAAACGTTTGTTATTCTGTTGTTACAGTTGATGAAATAGACTAATGATGTCCTGAACTTAGAATTAGGGACCTGTAGATCATTCAAGCATACACCCAGAAAGACTTTTTTCTAACACAGAACCAACTCTGTGTACCACCACACTCAACTCACACACTCAACTCACACACCCCGAACAATACTTAAAACTCATTTTATATCTACCGAAGTATAATGAAACAGAAAAATACTAACTGAATTCTTCAGTCTCTTTACTACAACAGAATTTTAACTTTGTCAAGCACAAGAGAAGGTATAAAGAAAAATTCCATAGTTTTCACTGTTAATATACATTATTACATATGTGTAGTGGCCTCCTGCCAACATCCCAATCATTCAAAGCCTTCTAGGAAAAAAAAAAGAACTATCAGATTTTTTCATGTTTATGGCTTTGTCCCCTGGCACTCTAAAAATAGACAGGCATCAGAGGGCAATAGAATAGTGTTCCATTTTAACATTTTCAGACAGAGCAAATCTGTACTATTGAACAACTGCTTTACGATTTCCTTAGAAAAGTATTGGCAGACCTTTAACTATATAATATTAGAGTCCCTAATAACACCTCTGGAACATGAAAAGTGCCTGGGAGTGTTTTATAAACTTTAAACCACAATGGAGGCTACAACTAATTAGTCAGAAACAAAAACCATCTAGGAAATGTTTCAAAGCCTGATGCTTCAAGCCTGGGCACCGCACTCCAGCGTATTAACTATAGGGTAGCCAGCCCACTGGCTGCCATATCTTCATATGGGACTGCTGGGCTTTGACCTCATACATTCAGCTCCTACCACCATTAAAAGAGGCTTTACAGACACAGGACTCAGCACCCCATCCCCAATGGTCATGGGAGGCTTCTGGAAGCCAGATCTGTTTTTAATAACACTATATCTCCAGGGCCTAATATAGTGCTGGCCAGAGTGGGTGCTCATCAGAAATGTGAGTGGATTAATGAGTCCCATGAGTTTTACTCAGTGACTATGAGGCAGCTCAAGGTGAAAATGATCATCTTGGCAGGCCGGTGAGCCAAGAGTGGGGACAAACTCTGCAAAAAAGACCCATTAATGGAGCCCAGAGGTCCATGTCAACTTGGTCCCTAATGAGTAAGAAACTTTCTGTGCTAGCTATCCCCACTTCATTGTATCACCTGCCACCGTTAGTCAGATTTACATATTGCTTAAACAAATGATATCTAGTAACTTATAGTACACAAATAACTCCATGGATGGAGGTGGCTAAAATGTGTAGGGGGATAAGTGTCTATTTCTTCAGGACTGAACCTCAATAATTAACCATGAAGTTTTGGAAGAAATGTTTTGGGGTTGGCATTTTTCAAGTAGGTTATTTTAAAATGATAGCATCAGAAAAGATTGTGCCATTGCAGCATCACCATGCCAGAGTTTTCCCATGTTTTGATCTTCTATCTTGTTGAAGATTACGTGGTTTCACTTTGTCAGAGAAGAAACAGAATTTGTGATTTCTGGATCCCAACATAATTTGCTTACTTCGGACACTTTGAAAGTTATGAAACATACTGCTGTTTCTCACATTCAGCATTAACAAAACTGTTTTTATCTGGGAAAGTGCATCTGGCTCTCCTTCCTCCTCCCTATGCCTCTGTTCGTTCTGCCCATTACCAGAAACACACTGGAAGAGCTTAGGTTGGGACACAAAGGTCACCCAGCTCTCACCCCAATGCCCAACCTCCCCTGCTATGTCTCCTCAGCTGTTTTCCCTTTTTCTCAAAATTCAGAGAGGCTCACGGTCAAATCCGTCCCAGTTGGGTTGCAGGCAGGTTAAGACGACTCTGTCTTCAGATACCTGCAGGCCCTGTCTTCCCGGCTGGGCTGCTGTTGTGTCAGCCCCCAGCTGTGCCAGCCTCCTTATGGCAGATGCTTCGGACCCTGGGCATTTAGAGACCAAGAAATCTATTCTCTACCACCCTCTGAGGGGGCCAAGGGAGGCTGTCTCCGTAGTTGCCACCGCCAGGGGCAGGCTCTGTACCGGCTGCAGTTCGGTGCGGGGGACGCTGGGCAAGGAGAACTTACCTCCCAGAGGTGCTGCGTGTTCCTCACGGCGCCCGCCTGCACCTTCTCCGGGGGCAGGAGCACGCCCTGGAAGGGCCCGATCCAGGTGCCCTGTTGGATCCTCTGCGCCGCGCAGATGCCGTAGGCCAGGCCAGGCACGGTGCTGGTGCACAGGCATACCTCCCGCGGCAGGTCCCGCAGCCACTCGGGCAGCTCCGGCGGGGGCGCGGCGGCCGCGGCGCTGCTGGTGCCCACGAGCCGGCGCAGCGAGTGCAGCGGCCCGTGCATGGGGCACTCGCCGTTGCGGTTGTCCGCGCACATGTCGCAACCTGCGGGAGACGCAGGAGGGAGGGAAGGAAGAGAGTCAGCCTGGCCGCGCGCAGTGGCCCATCCTCGGAAGCACCCCCGAGACAGCAGCTTCCCCGCCCGCCCGGGGAGTCGCCTGCGAGGGGAGTGACGCCGTGGGGGCGCAGGGACCACTCGCAGAGGCGAACCCGCGCCGCTTCCCTGGAACTCGCCGCACCCAAACCTGCCTGGGCTACCCCAAAAGCCTTCGGATCTGAGCGCTGGTAGCATCGTTGCTCTCGCCACGGCGCGCTGGTCTCTCTGCGCCTCTCCCTGTCTCTGTGTGTCTCTGTCTCTCCCGCTTCCCTTCTGTCTCCAGGTCCCGGTGACCCTCTCACCCGCTCCCGTGGTTTCTGTCTAAAGGCATTTCAGGGTGTTTATCCTTGTACCACCAAAAAAGCCCGTCTCTCGCCCAATCTGGTATCTTTGAGAGATTCTATACTGGTCACCTGGTTTTCCTCTTGTTACAATTACTAAGGAGACGCATCATTTTACAATAATCAGGACAGGTGGACGACCAGTCTGGTGCGGGGCGCCATTCGCACTCCCCTCGACCCAGAAGCTTCCTCCACCACCTTCCCAGCGCCGCAGGACAGGGTGGAGCAGGCCTGGAGCGCTTGGATTCTGAGCCGCAGCGCCAGCCTCTGAGGGCGCGCCTGCGCTGGGTTCCCTAGAGCGCCGGGTCAGCGCCCACCTCTAGACACTCCAGCCAGGCAGGGGCAGGTGGGCACCGGAGGGGAGCGGCCGTCTGGAGGGTTTGGTGTGTGGGTACTTGCGTGCAAGCTCATCCTAGACGCCGAAAAGAAATGGAGAGCAAATTTAACGATGAGGGTAATGGGTCTTTAATGATCAGGGGAATGGGTCAATGGAGAGGGTCCCAACTCCTGCCCCGACGGCTGATTCTGCGGCTAAAAGCGATTCCCTTGTGCTACTGTGTGCAGCTGTGGATGAGGCTGTCTCTCTCCGACACTCCCCCGAGCTGTCGCGCGCGCGAGGGGACTCCGCCCTCCGGGCTGGGTG